CCGGGACCGGCAACGGGATCGCAACCCTTGGTGCTGCGCCCGCACCTCGCTCAGCCAGTGAGCGGGAGCCGGTCTGTATGTGGGATCGAACCCTCGGGAGGGAGCGCCGCCGCGCTTCCCAAGCGGCGCACTTATCCAGTGTGCCACCAGGCCGGCCCCAAGAACCAAAATTTTTTTAAAAGATAATTTTGCGGGCCAGCCCGGTGGCGCACTGCTACAGTGCGTCGCTTGAGAGCGTGGCGGCGCTCCCGCCGAGGGTTCGGATCCCACATACAGACCGGTTCCCGCTCACTGGCTGAGCGAGGTGCGGGCGCAGCACCAAGGGTTGCGATCCCGTTGCCGGTCCCGGTCCGGAACGGGCACAACACTGAGGGTTGCAATCTGTTGCCGGACACGAAAAAAGACAAAAAGGAAAATAAATAAATAAATAAAAAATAAAAGATAATTTTGCTTTTTCTTAAATAATGAGAACTGCCAAATAAGGAGAGCAAAAACAAACAAAAAACCCCACGAAAAACAGGTTCTAAATACTTCTAAGGGTATAATGTTTATTTCATTAAGAGAAATGGTGCTGCTTTTATTGTCACTACTTCCGACTCCTTTAACTGCTAACATTAAAAAATTGTGTTATGAATATCAACAAGTATATTGTATTTAAAATGCCAAGCAAACAATGACATAAACTTTAAACATATTTTTTTTTCCTTTTTGTCTTTTTTCGTGACTGGCAACGGATCGCAACCCTCAGTGTCGCGCCCGTACCGGACCGGGACCGGCAACGGGATCGCAACCCTTGGTGTTGCGCCCACACCTCGCTCAGCCAGTGAGCAGCCGGTCGGTACGTGGGATCCGAACCCTCGGCAGGAGCGCCTCCGCGCTCCCAAGCGGCGCACTGTAGCAGTGCGCCACCGGGCCGGCCCTATATTTTTATTTTCAAATAAGAAAGTTGCTAACACACAACTCAAACTTTCCAAACTCAGGGATTTAAAAAAGTTAAGGCAAAAAATGTGAGGATAAGTGTTCTATATTTATCCTTCAAGTTGTACTGAAACACTATGAGAACCAAAGCCAGAATGAATTACTACTTTCCACCTATTACAATGTCTAAATTAAAAAGCCTAACCATCCTCAGTACCAGTGAGGATATAGAGCAACTGAAACTCTCATTTTCTTTTGGTAGCAACGTAAAATTTAGAATTCAGTTTGACAGTTTTGAAAAAGGCATATATATATACACCTATCATATCATCCAGCCATTCCACTCTCTAAGTATTTCCCCAAGAAAAACAAAAGGCTATGTCCATATAAAGACAAACACACAAATGTTTGTAGCAGCATTATTTATAACAGCCCCAAATTGGACAAAAATCCCAAATGTTTATTAACAAGTAGTAAACAAATTAAAGTATATCCATGACAGAATGCTACTTGGCAACGGAAAGAAATAAACAATTGATGTATGCACGACATGGATTAATCTCAAAATAATTATGCAGAACAAAATAAGCTAGCCAAAAAGAATATAACTGTATGGTTCCATTTATACAGAATCCTGGAAAATGAAAATGAAAATGACACATTGACTGGTTGTTTGCGATGGAGAAGGAATAGGAGAAAAGGTTCTAAAGGGGCATGAAGAAACGTTTGAGGGTGTTCCTTTTATTCAGTATCTTGATTGTGGGAAGGATTTCATGTGTGTACATATGCCAAATCTTATCAAATTGGATAATTTAAACATGCAGTTTATTGTATGTTAAGTATTCCTTCATAAAACTTAAAAAAAAATTCTCTAAAAAATGAGTAACACATGAGCCAGCTTTACCTGGGTGATGTATGAAGGTGACTGAATACTGATAATATCTTCAGTATCGAATATTTATTGAACATAAAAATATATTTATTTTTATAAAATTATTTTCATATACTTTTTCCTCATTTAATCTATAGCCATTCAGAAAAGAGACTTAATTGGACTGGAGAGACTGAGAAAAGACTCAAGGAGATATATTCCTGAAGGAGAGAATGGATTCAGGTGGGTGCAAAAAGTCATTCCAGTGAGAAGTGCAGTTATGAGCAAAGCCAAGTACAGGGGCAAGACAAGATATAGGGGCAATGAAGAGTCTTATCCAGTTAGAGAGGAAAGTTTTGTTTTGCAAGGTACTAGGAGATAGAGTCAAATAGAATCGAATCACAAAAGTAGACAGGAAGAAGAATCATGGATATACAATATTAATAGAAATCAAGGAGAAATGAGACTTCACCAAGCAATTCACTGATGTAGAGAGCTCTGAGTAAATACAATTTTAGAAAAACTATTTCATTTAGCATGCCGGTTGTTACTAATCATTCAAACTCAGTTTCAAAGAGTTTTTATTTAAAAAAATTTTCATATAAAACATTGCAGTATCTTTAATTTTTTTAAAGATAAAAATGAAAATCAGAGCTCAGAGAAATTAAAAATGAGTGAGTGAAGCAAGGATACAAATCCAGTTTTGTCTTAACTCAAAGTTTGTGTTCTTAAACAGTAATGCTAGGGCCGGCCCGGTGGCGCACTGGATAGTGCGCCGCTTGGGAAGCGCGGCGGCGCTCCGCCCGAGGGTTCAGATCCCACATACAGACCGGTTCCCGTTCACTGGCTGAGCGAGGCGTGGGAGCGACACCAAGGGTTGCGATCCCATTGCCGGTCCCCGGTCCGGTACGGGGGCAACACTGAGGGTTGCGATCCGTTGCCGGACACGGAAAAAGACAAAAGACGAAAAAAAAAACAAAAAAAACAAAACAGTAATGCTAAATTCCACTGCACTGGTAAAAACTGATCAACGTAACTTATAGCAATAAAAACCATGAATAAATGGATAGGAAAGGGAATTAAACTCTGTTCTATTTCTAGTTCCATGCATTGAAAACCATGAAATGCAAAGATAGTTTTATGTTCCTGAGAATGCCTATACAAGGCAAAATATATCAATTTACTGGCTGAAGGAAAATTGAAGTTTTATGATAAAGAGAGGATTCTACAGGCTCATTTAATTTTAGAACGAACACAGTTTTTAGGGTCTGGAAGACTGGTGCCTAACACATTAAGGGACATTTAACTTTGGTAAAATAGTTAAGATAAAGGGAAGGGGTGATGGAAATCATTTCTAGGCACAAAATCCCTGAATATTCAATCAGGATAAATATATATATATATAAATATATAGTGTCTAAGAACCTTGAACAGCAATGAGACCTCCAGAACCAACATAGCAGGTCTCTGTATCAAACATAGCATACAATAATGTCTGATGTGACAATAAATTTGCTCTGAGCCTGCCTGACATAAGGAACTTGCCATATAAAGTAGATAAACTACACACAGGCTCTATATCTGAGCAATAATGAACCGAATTCAGTAGTGTACAAGAGTCACACTGGTGATACCATCTTAATGGACAAACAAAAGGTATTTAAGTAGGAATTATTTCCATAAAATGTAATCGAGAAACTCATAAACTGGCTACAATAAAAAGTCCAATAACCTTGTGATAGTATATGCAAAATTTAGTGTATATGAGTATACATTGTTCTGGAAAAGAGCTCATAGCTTTTATCAGATTCTCAAAGTCAAGGGCAAAAAGAGGACAAGAAATAATGATCTGCACCTCTTCCTTACCACATGTTATATTAAAAAAATAAAAAGCAAAAACTAAAAACAGATGGATTATTGAGCAAGCACTTATAGGAAAGAGGTTTATTTGTAGTCATTAATCTTGAAAGAAAAAATAAAAATAGTAAAAGAAATTTTAGGATCCTGTACACATGTGCATATCTCTGTGTATTTTATGGGTCCATGATGCTTTTTTTTATTAAGATAGGATACCCACAAAATAAAAAGAGAAATATAAATATATTTGACTATGAAAGATTGAACATTTTTGACAAAACATACCATAAAGTTTAAAGGCAAATTATCTGTATTACACATACAGGGTTTGTATTTATGGAGTATAAATGAAGCTCTTACAGACTGCTAAAAAAAAGAAAACTAATTTAATAGAAAATTGGGTAAATTATATAAATTAAAAATTCACAAAAGGCAAATTCAGGGGCCAATAAACCTTCAAAAAAATGCTCAACCTCATTAATAACCAGGAAAATACAAATTCATGTAAACTGTCAATTCACAAGAAAACAAATTCAATGGCCAATAAACATTTGAAAAAATGCTCTACCATCTGGTGGCACTTCCCTCAGCATGAAGAACTTTCTTTAGCCCTTCTTGTAGTGGAGTTCTGCTGGTGACAGATTATTTTATCTGAAAACTTCTTTCTTTAGTCTTCATCCACACATTTATTTTTGCTTGATTTAGAATTCTGGGTTGAGAAGCTTTATATTTTGTTTTATATTTTAAAGATGTTGCTCTTCTGGCCTCCATAGTTTCTTATGAGAAACTGTTATTCAAATCATAGTTCCCCTGTACATAATGTATCACACATGGATTTTCTCATGTTATTTTCAACACTTGTTCTTTACCTGTGGCTTTCAATAGATGGATTATGATTTATGTAGACATCGCCTTCTTCATGTGTTTGTTGTATTCATCTTTGTTTCCCTCATGTCTGCCTTACAGATAGTACTCAATAAGTATTTGCTGAATTCATTTGGGAAAAAAAAAAATCAAGTCATCCTTTGGAATTTCGACAGAATCCAGAAGGAGTCTGGAAGCACAGGCTAAAGCAAATACTCACAAGATATTTATTGGGAGTCTCATGTTTTATCACTAAAATTTAGGTTAATCTGTCACATGAGTATATTAAAGAATGCTCAATCTTATCAGTAAGTAGAAAAATACAAATTAATGTAAATAATGTAAATTGTCAATTCACAAAAGAACAAACTCAATGCCAATAAATGTTTGAAAAGATGCTCTACCAAATCTTTTGAGTACGTATTGATTCTTCAGTGCTAATGTTATTTTCCAGTTTCATATCCTTTCAGAAATGCTGCTACATTCCACCAGGGATATTCACACTAATTTGGGAAGAGGGTCTCACATTTTAATCAAAGTCAGTCTAAACTAAAAAAATGACATTCATATAGCATTTCAGACTTCAGAAAGTATTTTCATAAATAGCTCACTTAAACTTCCCAACAACCTTGTGATCAACTTTGGTTATAGCAGGTGGGAACAATTTAATACAACTTAGTTTATGAGAATTTATTTATCAAGAAGATAAACTGAAATTAAGCGAACAGATAAAAATTATTATGTTTTGGGTAAAAAGGGATTTTTGTACATAAGGTTCATACAGCCTTGGTGTAATTCTCCAAAAAAGGTTCTTGGTATCTGGGGAGCAGGAAAAAGGAGGCCCTGGAGCCAGGTGATTAGAGGAAAGGATAGCAGGGAAGAGGCAGACATACAAAAGATATACCAGGCCAAACACAAGCTCTACCTATGCAATGACTTGGTTTAGAGCTGTTTTATACTTAAACAAAAACAAAATATGAGCTTCATTCCAAACAAGGTAGATAGCTAAAGAAGATACCCCAGTACTGTAGTTTTAAGCCACAGTATTAAATTTTTTTTTTTTCCTTTTTGTCTTTTTTCGTGTCCGGCAACGGATCGCAACCCTCAGTGTCGCGCCCGTACCGGACTGGGACCGGCAACGAGATCGCAACCCTCAGTGTCGCACCCGCACCTCGCTCAGCCAGTGAGCGGGAACCGGTCTGTATGTGGGATCCGAACCCTCGGCGGGAGCGCCACCGCGCTTCCCAAGCGGCGCACTGTAGCAGTGCGCCACCGGGCCGGCCCTACAGTATTAAATTTAATAGATACCATAAAAAAATAGATACCATAAAACTAATGAGTATTCAAAGTAAAATAAAATTCAATAAAAGATTAATGATAGTAGAGTCCAAGACTAAAATCATAATGGTAAAAGAATTTTTTTTTTAGCTGAGATGACTATGGATAACCAGAACACGTGGAATAATAATCCTCCCACAGCTGTAATGATTTTTCCTAAGACCCAAAGGTATAAAGTCTCTGTTAGACAACTCCAAGTAGCAGGGCCCTGTCTATTATACATGACTTTATATAAAGATTGAGCTACTACAAACTATAAGCTATGAATTTAAAAAATCAACACTGCTACTATCTCCAAAAGTTTCTTCATATGCCTTTGTAATATGTTCTTTTCCTTCCTCCCTGCCTCTCCCTGCCCTGCCTACAGGCAACAGCTAGCCTGCTTTCTATCACAATTTGCATTTTCTAACATTTTATATAAATGGAATTACACAATAATATTCTCCTTTCACCTCGCTTCTTTCAGTCAGCATAACATATACATCTGTTTAAAAGACTTTATGTGAGTATATATTTTTGTTTCTCAATGGAAAGACTTAGAAAGGAATGACTAGGCTGTATGGTAAGTGGGTAACTTTTTCAGAGGTTGCCAAGTTGATTCCAAATTTGTTATATCATTCTGACTTTCCCACCAACAGTGTACGAAGAGTTCTATTTGGTCCACATACCCAGTCAGTCATTTATTTAGTCAGTCTAAGAGGTGTGTAGTTCTACGTCTTCATGTATTTTTCCCCCTGATAATGATGTTGAACATCTTTTCATTTGCTTAATGACCATTCATATATTTTACCGGGTAAAGTGCTCAAATCTTTCCACCATTATTTGCCTCACATTATTTTAGTTGTTGGTCTTTGTCTTCATGTTATTGAGTAGAAGAGATTCTTTAAATATTCTGGATAATAGTCCATTGTTTGATAAATGTGTTCCAAATACTTTCTCCAAGTATTTGGCTTTCTCCCTGTGTTTCTTCATATCCTCCTCCCTCTCTATGTGTCTATGTCCAGATTTCCCATTTCATAAGGATACCAAGTCACAATGGATCAGGGTTCACCCTAATGACATCATTTTAATTTGATTACCTCTGTAACAACCCTATTATCAAATAAGGTCACAGAGTTACAGGATTTAAAAACTTCAACTTACCTTTCTGTGGGGACACAATGCAACATGTAACAGTTTCCCTTCCTCTTGGAAACATTTTTAAGCAACCATTAGCAGTAACATTCAGAGAGTAATCTAAGAGAGGGTAGCCATTTCATAATTATTCTCTTCTGTATCATTATGGGTCATAATAGGAAGGCAAATTTCCACTCAACTGCAATATTTAATATGGTTCAAAAGTATTTACTACTGATTCTAAAAAAAAGTGAAGGACAAGCCCTTTTTAATGATAGCGTCCTTTTAATATAGCTACCTTTTCATAATTCTAATCATATGTACTTTTATAACAAGGCCATCACCAACACATTAGCAGGTTTAATCTTTTCAAACTATACAAATATATATAAAAGATAAACCAAACTGTATAGCATATGGTAGGGGCAGAGAGGCAGCAAGAAGAGAAGAAAGGAGGAGAATGGTATCAGTAAGGAGGCTCTATAAAATATGGAATGACATTTGAACTTACTTTAAAAGAACATGGTTGAACCTAACTTTTTAAAAACAGCCTTTAAAAACTAGCATGTAGGGGGCCGGCCCGGTGGCGCACTGGATAGTGCGCCGCTTGGGAAGCGCGGCGGCACTCCCGTCCGAGGGTTCGGATCCCACGTACAGACCGGCTCCCGCTCACTGGCTGGGCGAGGCGCGGGAGCAACGCCGAGGCTTGCGATCCCGTCGCCGGTCCCCGGTCCGGTACGGGGGCAACACTGAGGGTTGCGATCCGTTGCCGGACACGGAAAAAAGACAAAAAAAAAAAAAAAACTAGCATGTAAACATTAATGCTGAGATAAACATACATTTATGAATACTGACCTATCATATCTGATAATATTCTAAAAGGATTATTTTAAAAATAACTTCCAATAGAATTCAACATTGACTATGCAGAAAATATAGTCTACTTGAGGTTAAAAAGACAAGTATTAAATTGTATGCAATTAATAATCTGTGCACACCTGGATGATATGAGTACATATTAAACTGTAAAATTGCAGAATACATGATTAACGTATGACAATGAAAATCTTATGGGATTAACAAAATGCCTTTTTAAAACAGTAAACAATGCTAATTTTTTCTTTACTTTTTAAAAATATTACATGATGAGCAAAGAAGTTCTCAGCAGAATCTGATTGAAAATTACATTTGATCAGTTCAATAGACACTTCCAATCTGACAGCAAAATTCTTCTTCAGTGTTTAAAAACATTACATCTGCAACTGATTTCATTCCATCAACCAAAAAATGCATTTGTACTGCCACCATCACATTTTCAGAAGAGTTTAAATTACAAAACTTGAGAGAGCTTCAAAGCAATTCTTAATCTAACCACCCTGATCTTGATGGCCCAGTTAAAAACAATTTAGGATACTTAATAAAAGAGAAATCCTTCAACAGAATGGATAACAATTGTTTTTAAATCACATTACTTTAAGTTTCCTGTCATAAATCAAATGTACCAACCTGAGGATTACAGCATTTTATCTCTAGTGACTCTAGGTCAACATGGAGACAGACAATAAATGAATGCCTTGTATCAGGTCCTGTAGCGAGTAGTTTTTGAGACGTGACAGCTAGAGTAGAGGTACAACCCATAGGTTCCACTAGGCAAAGTGTCACTTGTTTTCCAAGAAGAGTATATATGCTGAAATGATGCAAGCTGATGGTCCAAGGAAAAGCATCACCTGAGAAAGGAGATAAAATGGAGTAAGAAAGCACACAAACAAAAATACAATTAATTCTAACTTGATAGTAAATTGTCTGTTGTTTGTATTTGAAATGTAAAACATTTAATACTACATTATAAAAAGTGAATACAGTATCCCAGAGACCAACGTGCTAAATAATTAACACTTTTAAATAGGTTTATATTTGTGTCTATAGCATATTAATAACTATATAATCATGTATATTATAAACCATACCTGAATAGAAATTTTAAAAATGAGATAGAAATAGAAATAGAAATTCTGACTTCCTCTTCCCTTACCCAGTAGGTTGTATTTTGCAACTGTTGGAGATGAATGCACCCTACCTTGGAGACCACAGAAAATGGATTAAATTAGGAAAATGCAGTAATTTTTGTATGAACTGAAGATGACCATAGATCTGGCTGTAATATGAGAGAGGAAAAGAATAAACAATTTACTGTTGGACTACCTGCATCAAAATCATATGGAGTGTTTATTTAAAATAGAGGTTCCTGGGTTAAACTTCAGATCCAGTTAATTAGAATCTCTGGTGGTAAGACCTAGCATAAATTTTGATATATTCCCTGAATGATTCTTATGTATAATAGAAGTTATTTTTAAATATAACATACGTGATAAATAATTAGCACTCATACATTTCAGGATTAAAAGCAAAATTCATTTTCTTTATACTTCTTCCATTTACTATCTCAGAGAAGATTCATTAATTTCTAAAATAATTCTGCATGAATGAAAAAAAAGAATAAAAATAAATTAATAAATTGATGAAATAAATCCATCTTTTTTTTATTATGGCTATAGGTAAAGTACTTCGTGAAATAATTCTTAAAAGTCCATTTAGTATTAGAATATTTATAACATTTTTATAAACATTATTGTGATGTGAGTATGATGGAAAATATGTTTCTATCACTTGTATTTTTGACTTTACAATTTTATTAGCAATTAGTACAGAAAGTATAGTATAGACCTCTTTTTAAGTGGCACAATTATTAGAAAACAAATTGAGAATTTTTATTTATTTTCTAATTTCACAGCAGATAATTTGGAAATATAACATATAAAGAAGAAAATATAAAAGCCAGTCATAATACATCTCCTACCCTGCCACCCCAATAATAAGTACTAATAACATTTTGTAATATTTACTTCATATATCTATTTCCTACATATATATTTTTTCCCTATGGGTGATGGACATGACCAGGCAGAGTTAGGACCAGGGAATACACTGTACTTACAGTTTCACATTCTTTTTTCATTGAAAAAATAGCAAGTAATTACTAAGTGAATCATATCATAAATATATGTTAAGGGAGCATAAATATGCATTTGATACTCAGAAGGTGACACAAAGTAGAGTCTTGTAGCTTTGAACACTCAAAATGTCTTGATCAAATATATTTAATAAAATTATAAAATTAGAAACTCTGAAATTGTGACCTGGATAATAGGTTGAATCTTGCTACATAGGAGTTCATAACAACTAGACTGAAAACAATGGTAACTGCATAATAATATGTGGACAGCACTGTGGTACTTTGCCTGTCTTAAGACTTAAAATATTTTGCCCCCAACTAAGCATGACAAACTTTAAATCATCTGTAACTAATTCTAAAATTATTTATAAACCTACATCAAAATCCATGGTATTTACAAAACAAAGGCTCTACCAAATTTGTTTTAGAATATTTTGGAATGATTACAGATTACACATTTTAAAACTGGTAGTAATCTATATATAATTTTTTGAATCTTACTTTATCCAAGAAATGCTAAATGGTAGTTATGTTGGATCGAAGCGCACTGTATTTAAATTTGTTAAATTTTAAAAAAAACAAACAAAAAACTCCAAAAGACATTGGTACTATATCAGATACGTATTCCTACTACTTCTTTGGAATCAGACCAATAAGTTGAAATTGGTATATCATACTCTAACTCATAAAATGAACTTTTAAAGGTACTACTTCATGTTCATTTATTTAGCATGCAGATTGTCTGTTTTAAAAAAGCACATTCTACCTAGAATGTGAGATGTTAACATGTAATGACAAAAATTCCACAAATAATCTGTGAAAAAATTCACCAAACACATTAACTGCACAACTACTCCTTTTACACACACACACACACACACACACACACACACACACCTCTCAAAATAAAAACACCTTATCTACTCATCATGTTGAAAATAACCAAAATAATATTCTGGGTACTCCCTAAAATATGATCAGAATCCACAATGGGCCAGAACTATGTACTATTCTGAGAACTCCACATAGCTTTCCATTAATCTTGGCTGACTTTCAATATTAGAATTTTAATTGGAATGATCTAATGCTATAATATGGGCTTTTTATTTTAGAGAAACTATTGCTGGCAGAATTCATAAATTTTCAAACAAAATGTCTAAAGAAGAAGGAAAGAAAAGAAAAGAGTAGGAGGATTGAGAATGTGTGTGAATGTAACCCCTCTATATCATCCACAGAGAAAAGAAGATAAACAAAATAATTTTCAAGAAAATGATCACCAAACACTGATGTAATGTACATCAAATAATGTGAGAGTGAATATGACAAAAGGCTTTGGGACAAAATGAACAAATAAAGCACAATCAGTGAAACTATGTGCTACATATGTCAATGCCAAAGGGTGGGGTTGGGAGAAGGACCCCATAGGAACATATTAACTTATGACTGAGTGAAACTTAAAAAAAAATTACTGTGAATTTCCTTACATGGTATTACATGTTGTGGATTTTGCACCACACAAGAATAAGAAGATTATGGTTTAGATGACACACAAAAGAATTTTAATAATATATCTCTCTCAAAATTTTATCATCAATGATGGGATCAGTGAATAGTGACTAATAATGCAGACTCTTATCACAGACATCTAATTTATGACCCTGAATCTTGTCGGGTAGGGATCAATACCCTGGAAAGAGAATCAGTCTTTCTCTTTCAAAAGACACCCTACTATACTACAGGGAAAAGTGTATGTACTTGGGGCCAATATGCATCACCTTACAAATATCGGTGCCACAAATGAGGAAAGAATGTTGGCCAATATTGGAGATACTTTCCTCTTTTCTTTGCTTTCCCAACCTTAGTCACTGAATGTTTTAATTTGTCATTTAAAAAAAACAAAAAAAACCAGAATGCCTTTCTCTTTCCCTATTTTTTGTTTTTTCCTTATGTTCCACTAGACAGTATGACTCTGGCTGGTTTTCATTTCAAATATGAACTACTGTAATCAGGAATACTTCGCAATACGACCTATCATAAAGATAACACATTAGAGACAGATACATTGTATTGCACAAATATAAATGGGACAAAATTGTTGACATTGTTTCTCCAAATCAGTTAACACTTAAGTGATTTTAAGACAGTTAATATAAAGTGTTGTTTAATTCTAAGTGACGTTAATTTAAATAACAGGTACTTTCAGGAATCAAGGCATTAAAAATGATATAAAATGTAATCAATTTTCCTGGAAGAGAAGAATAGCTGAAAGACCTAGAAAAAAAGGAAATGAAAATGAGCAACCTATAATTTTATTTGCTCTGTAACAACAATTCTACATTTGGAATAAAATACTGTTTTGTATTAGAAAATGTGAAATGCATTGCATGTATAAAGTATAATAATAATAACAATAATAATAAATGGAAAATTGATTTCAAATTTTTGAAAGATTTTCTTCACATCTAGAAACCTAAGATTTCGCTGCTAAAACTATTTACTTCTAAATGTTATTACTGGTTTAACTATAACTTAATCATCAAAATTTCACTACTGCATAAAGAAATACAATATTGTTTTTAACAGTCTCTAAAACTTATGATTTCAATTATAAATAGGCACAACCAGAATAATCATTACTTTTAAAAGGAGAAGGGACTACAAAGAGTACACTGCCCTTCGCAATTAAGGTATCAGTAGACAACTTATAGTTTTGAAAGAAATGAGGATATTATGACAATGTGTGACTTAATCAGGGTCAATTTTTGGTATTGAAGACTCTTATTACTCTGAAAGACAAGATTCTATCAGTAATATCAGTGTCATAGGGTGGATAGCTATCTTAGTCTGCTTGGGCTGCTATAACAAAATATCATAGACTGGTGGATGAAACAACAGATATTTATTTCTAACAATCCTGTGGATGCAAACTCCAAGATCAAAGTGCTAGCAGATTTGGTTCTCGGTAAGGGCCCTCTTCAAAGCAGGCTTGCACACAGCCACCTTCTGACTGTGTTCTCACATAGCCAACAGAGAGGAAGCTCTATTGTCTCTTTTTATTCTTATAAGGGCGCTAATTTCATCATAGAGGCTCCATCCTCATGACCTATCTAAACCTAATTACCTCCTAAAGGCCCTACCGCCTAATACCACCACATTGCAGATCAGGTTTCAACATATAAATTTGGGGAGGAGACACAAATATTCAGTCTATAACCTTAGTCTAGGTAAAACTGATACCTGGACATATAAGAAAGGAACAAAGAAGCCAGGTATGTGATAATCTTATAGATTTGTAAACCATTAATGAAAAGGTGGTAACTGAATTATAGTTATAAATGAGAAATACCCAGGGAAATCATAAGCATGAGTAACACCTATATTTAAGAGACAGGCAGAGGGAAAGAAAAAAGAACCCAGGAAGAAATTCAGAAGTGGCCAACATCCACAGAAAATAAACCAAAAGAGAGTAGTTATCCAAAAGTTAGGAAAGAATTTTAAGAAGGAATCAACTAACAACATCAAAGGTTAAAGGTTTCCATTGGATTTGGTACCCAACAGGTATGTTTGTTTCGTTGATTTAATAAGGTGAAAAGGTTCTTGAATGCCAATAAGGGGAGAAAAAGGGTTTCTAACTGATGAAACAAATCCTTTAAAAACACAGGGCATAGCATATAGTACAAATTCAATAAATTTGTTTTAGGACAGAGGAGATGA